CTATTATATTATTATAAATAAATAAAAATTCATTTTGTTTGTTGCAGAGTGACTACCCCTTCAAACACGCAGACCTTAACCTCTCCAGGTCGTCTTAGCGGTCCAATTGAAAGACTCCTTGTGGAATTGGCACTGTCTGTACTAATAGTCTTGGCCCACTTCACCTCAGAATCCTCTAAATCATTACCGATGTTGATTTCCTCGAAACCAGCTGGTGTGTTGGCCGCAGCATACACAGCGGCCACTTTAGTTTCGGTGAGTACATACTTCGATTAAAGTACAAATCCTACGATGATAAAAAAAATATCATTGCCTAGTACACATACGCAGTCTAAGGAGCTGCTGTTGTTTTTTTCTACTCTCTTCCGTTGTACATATGTACATTCTTTGTCTTTCTTTCTCGTAACCGGTCTATCCAAAACATCATCTCCTCGATTTCATTCGAATCAGACCTACGTCTGTGTCTTTAAACAGCACCTGCAGCTTAACAACGCAAGAGACAGCGAGAAGGGGCATAATAAAAGAGATAGAGGGGGTGAGGAGGAAGGACGGGATAAAAAAAGAAAGAAATCGAGTTCGATCCCACCTGCTCCGGAACGCGTGTACAATGCCACCCTAAAGCGAAAAATTCGAAAGCAACGCGCCTCGTGCAAGAATAAGAAAGTCTCGTTTATTGGTTAAGGGTCTCCATTTTCCTCGTACCAACATGTACAATCTAAAAATGCAAAAGTACAGATAATTTTTACAGGTTGAATTCAAGTTTTATAAAGTTAAACTAATGAATAATATTAATCAAATTTCAGAGTCCATTCTTAAATCCAGCCAGAGCACTAGGACCAGCCTTCGTCAGCAACCGTTGGGATAACCACTGGGTGTACTGGGTGGGTCCACTATCAGGCAGCGCAGTGGCAGCCCTTCTTCATGAATACGTACTGAATCCAAAGCGATCCAAAAACCCACGAGACATAGACGACGGCGATAATTCATCTATGAGGTCTGATGAAGACACCTACGACGACTTAGATAAACCATCGGGTCCCAAATTCCCCAGCGCCTATGCAACCTATCGTCCAGTGGCTGGAGCATCCTCTTCAATCTATAGTGCGCCACCTACTGCCTTGGAACGCGTAGAATCAATTTACGGTGGAACCAAATCATTGTACTGTAAATCTCCACCATTGACTAGGGCGAATCTGAATCGTTCGCAGAGTGTGTACGCTAAGTCAACGACAGGGACTAGAGACGGTCTGATGATCCCTAAACCAGGTCCACTTGTGCCTGCACAGAGCCTGTACCCTATAAGGATAGGCCAGACAGGCTCTAACTCTGGCTCTGGCAGAGAGAGTCAACAGCAAAATGCACCCACTGGACAGAATCAGACCCCTCAAAATCACAATAGTACTAATCAGAATATGCAAAATCAGCTTCAGCAGTGTACTCAGAGCATCTATGGTATCAGAGGAATCTCTACGAGTCTCAGTACCCGAGAAAATGGCATTTATGGTGTTTCTACGGGATCCAGTATCTATGGACGAGCTCCAGCTCCTCCTCCTGCTAGTCAGAACTCTCAGCAGTCTGCTTCAAACTCGTCTTCCACTCAAAGTCATCAGCAGCAGCAGCAGCAGCAGCAGCAGCAGCAGCCACAACAACAGCATCAGAATGGAGCAATATCTGCAAGTTCAGACAACGCCGCTAATTCTAGAAGACCAGAAAGCATGTACGGGCATATCTCTAGGCGTAGCGATGATTCTGCTTATGGTAGTTATCAAGGTTCTACGAGGGGGAACTACGGGAAGGTACCTGGACCTCCTGGAACAACGGGACCGCCTAATGGACCACCGGGTCCACCTCAATACAGGGAACAGGGCAGACCTAGTCCTGCTGGACCATTACAGCAAAATCAGCAGAATAGCTTTCAGAGGAATTCGCCTAATCCTCAGTACTGACTGTAGATTAAATAGATTTTACTTGGTGATTATTCTTATGAGGCTGCTGAATAATAGTTGGTAGCTAAGAAAGAACATACTGATCTTTTTAAAGGATACAAAGGTTCTTAGGATAATAGAGGCAGCCATTAAAACTGAATAAATGTGATTGGAATTAAAAGTTGAAAATTCTGTCAAGAAAAAACTGATACGTGCCATTTTGTAGTGTGATGAGATGATGTGAAATTTCTTGGAAAAATATTCGACGTTAG